GGGAATGGGAATGGGAACGGGCCGCGGCCGCCGCGCGCCTAACGCTGGTGCAACGCGGGCGAGCGGCAGCGAGCGAGCCCCCATTCCCGTTCCGCGGCTCTCCCGGTTTTGTGTTCATTCCTTGCTGTGCTAAAGGCGGGAAGCGCGGTGCCCGCGCTCGTCCCGCACCGAGGGCTGCGCCCCTGGAGAGAGGCTCTTTCCAAGGCCCTCCGTATCCCGCTGCTGCTGCCGCGCCTCCGCTTCCTCCCTCAGCCGTGGCTCCTTTTTCTGTCCTGATKAAGAAGGGTGCGCGAGCGGCCGCAGAACACACGTTTTATGTATTTATTGCTCCTCGCTTCCCGATGAGCACCTGCCCGCGTCTTGCYCTATGGCGCTTGCTGTTTGTTTTCCTTTCGCTTCCCGTTGTTGTTCCGAACTTGACCTCTGCCCGCGCTGAGTGTTTGCGGACGGGGGTGGATCCGCCCGCGCTCCCGCGGGGAGGCTCCAGCGAAGGTAARGTTCATGGAGAGCTTCCCCGTGTGTCACGTACCGGCGTTAACCTTCTGTGGAGCTGCTCCCCATGGAGGCCCGGCCATCCGTGTGCCCRYCCRTCCRTCCGTCCGTCCGTGCCGCGGGAGCGTTTTCCCATGGGAGCGTCCTGCCACGGCCTCTGCTCCCGGGAATCGCGCCCGCTCCTCCCCGGCCAAATCCTCGTGGCCTGGCAGCGCGCGGCACGGCAGCTGCCCGGGCCTCGGGAACGGAGCACGGCGCGCGATGCCCTCTGCTTCCGTGGCCAAGCAAGTCCCAGCTCAGCTGCGCTGCATACTCTTCCAGTCATTTCTTTTTTTCCGAACAAATAATTGTAATATTAGCTGTGTTCTTCTTTACCAGCACCGCAAGTCTGTGCCTTAAATCATGCCCGGTCTTGTGGCTGACTTGTTAAGGAAAACTGTCCAAGTGTTTCCTCTGTAACAGCTTAAAAGGAGGCTTCTCATCTGTCTCTCTATTTTATCCTTTTTTCCATGTGAGAAGAAATGAAATTTTATTTTATTGTGATATTTGGGCTTCCGAACAAATAGATAACTTGCAAGGGAAATATRAATATACAGAAAGAATGCAGCAGATGGGAGCTTAGAATCCCATCCAGTTTCCTAAAACTCCTTCCTAGGTGTGATATAGATGGGAGCRTTTTGGTTGGGAGGGCGGCTAGGATATCTCAACCCATTGATTCTTGTGGGTCTGCGGAGATAGGTCCCGTCGAAGTGAGTAAGGGCCTCCTCGGGGCATGGCAGCGGTCCGTGTCGTCCTCGAGGCTTCTGGCATAGGATGCGTGTAGGTCCTGGCTGGTGTCCGTGTCCCTCGCCGCTAGGAGGATCTCACGCGCTTCCAGAGGGAGGGAATGGCGCAGCCAGGGGTTCTGTGCTGAGCTGCAAACGCTCCGCACGTGGAGCTTCCCAGTTCGGTGCTGGCGCCGGAGGAGCAGAGCCCGGAGCCACCCCGGCCAAGGGCCTTTGCTCCGGCTCCGAAGGTCAGGCTTTGCTGGGCGAGGAGCAAGGCAGCGGGAAGGTGACGTGGGTTTGAGCACGATGCCCTAGCGCCGGCTTAGTGCGTTCGTGCGCATGCTAGAACTGTGAGTTCTTGCAAATACTGGAGAGCACGTGTGTTGTCAGAGACGTTGGGCTACAGTTTCTTTTGCTTTAGGCTGTTTATTGTTGTTCTCTAGATTTTTTGAACGTTAGATATAGACTCATTTCTTTCCCCCTATATATGAGTAAAGTTGAGGTTTGGTTATTTTATTACTACCCRTTTTCTGATTAAAGTGTGTATCAAACTTTCAAATTCTAGGCCAGATCTTACAACTACTTCAGTAATTTCCTGGATAACACTGCAACCCTGAGCACRATAACATAGAGACACTCATTTAATCAGTAGCTTGTGGAATTAAAAGTGATATAACTAAAGCAAATTCAGAAGCGTGTGGTATGTGTGGGGTGATAATGCTAAGGGATGGCTTCTGTAAAGGGTTGTTACAAGGCTGCAGAATTCCTGTGCCTACATACCCCCCTGCAGGGTTTTATGATGTCTGGTTTATACCTGTACGTATAAACAAGTTACAAACTTACAGCTGAAAATTACTTGTTGTGTTAAATGCAATTAAAAGCGATCAGTGTCATAATTGCCTCAGTTATGCAAGTGCTTTGTAATTTTGC